CTCCCTCCCAGCTAATCATTTCCCTGGTAATGTTCGGTAGGGGGGGGAGCACTGACTTTAATGCCATGAAACTCAACATGATTTGAAATTAACCTTTTAGTGAATCTTTCACATGCAATGCGAAATAACAGCATCAGTTGTGATGTGACACTTTTGTAGGTGAAACATCAAAGGCAGCCCCGTTGCAGACTGATCTACCTTTGAACACCCAAGGGCATCTCAGACTGCCAAGTCTCTGCAGACTAGATGGGGGGGGTTGGAGGGGGGAGACAGATCTAAGATCTCACACTATTTGAAGCGAAGTCATCCTAACTAGGGTTTAATTCTATCTTCTTTTACACTTCGTTTCTGCTTGTTTCTTTCTTCCTCCCTTTCTTTTAAAGGAAATATCAGATTCAAAAGAGGGAAACACAGGATAAAAGGGGAAGGATATTATTTCTGACTGTCAAGCTATAATAATGCATAAATACATGAAAATTTAACCGGTAGGATTCCTTTCATCTTGCCACTTTGTCCGACTGCAAAACCTTGGAGACGCACGGGCAGAATTATGCAACGAAACATTCACTTGTGAACAGATCACAAAGCCAGATGCAAGAACAGGCACTGGAAGACTTAACAAGCCCCTTCCAGGATGAACCTTGATGATCTCCTGTTAAGGCCACCCACCACCGCAGGACACGTCATCATGCAGCTTCATTCTGAGGAAACTTGAGGGGAAGTGAGGAGTGGCGACCGCCAGCTGCTGAGAGTAGCCCCACCATCACAAAGGGAGCTAACAGGAGATGGCATCTCCCCATCCCATGTACAGAAGCCAACTGGGCTGGCAGTTCAATCTTTTTTCAATGCTGGCAATGGCATAATATCCTCCATCACCTCGGAGGGCAGCAAGGTAGTTCTAGGCTATGTGACACCACCAGCTGTGTCCTCCAGCAAAGGGTATAGCCCAGGGGCTCAGGAGGAAGAACCAAGGAGCTGCCCCTGCTGCCCCCCAGCAGCTGCCCCTGAGGCAGTCACCTCATTTTGCCTAATGGCAGGGCCAGCAGCTACTTTTAGGCTGCAATCCTAAAAGACAATAGTGGGAGAGAAGAGGTGGAGCGTTAAAGAACAGCCCCTCAGGAATGTCACTGACTGTGTCGAACCACACCCATCAATGCTGCCATTGTAAATGTGCAAAGAAACGCAGAAGGGACACCCATGCCAAATAATTTCTTGCCCTGTGGTGCCAGATCTTTCCTAAAAGTTGGAAGGAGGAATAGGTACTGGAAGAATTCCAAAGGATGTAAATGCTATATGGATCCTGGTTGGTTTGTTTTTAAAGCCAACAACCTGTAATGGGACCACACAGAAGATGCTAAAAAGCTTTGTCCGGAAGCATCCTCAAACGAATGTTCTCTCAGTATCAGTGGAATCTGTTTTCCTAGTAAATGGCAGCGACTTTTACTGGCAATGGCATCGTTTCCTCCATTACCCCTGAGGGCAGCAAGGTAGTTATGGAGGCGCAGGACAGGCCAAGTGGGAAATACTGCAACTGTTTTGCCTCCTCTCCTGCTGGATATTATGTTACAAATGGTTTTAGTGCTTCTTTTTTCATTATTTCCTTCTAATAATAATAATAATAATAATAATAATAATAATAATAATATAAAATTTAAAAAAAAATACATGATTTACTGTTGTTGGCATGTATACTTTCCCCTCTTTTGTCAGAATCTTCTTTTATTCAAAACTTAGCCAAAAGAAAATGTGGGGTGGTGATCATGATGACCTGGTCAGGCTGCAGACACAGCTCTCATGCAGTTGGCTATATTTTCCTAGAATGCTGCCCACCCTGAACCTCTGAGCAAGCTGATAACTTGGCCTTCCATCCCTTTAAAATATGCCCAATCCCTCCTCAGTTCAAAGGAAGTGTTGTGTAATGCAATGTTATTTTCCTAACTGCCAGTAAGATGTCTGATGCCCAGTTGGCATTCCCTGTACAAGCTTCACCCAGGCCCGAGACATTCCTATTGCTTCACTCCAGTTACACCACTCTTTGCATTAAAGCTTTTTTTAAAAAAACAGCTCTTCAAGTAGCAAAGTGGCCAGTCGTTTTAGAAACACCTCTTTGGCTAGCCTGCCTGACAAGGGCACCATTTGAGGAAGCTGCAGGATTCTCCACACAGAGGCTATTTATCCCACCGGAATGAAAGATATTGGGAAAACACCATGAAAAATGCAATTCCGATTCAAAGGGACATCTGGGAAGTTTCCCCAAAGAAGAGGGTGTCCTAAGTGCCTGCTGAGTAGCAGAGTTTCAAAGCCCAGGAAAAGATGTGCAGGTGACACTGAGGACGGTGAGTAAGAGATCCAGTTTGGAAAGTCATGGCACCAGAAGGGAGAAGGGACGGGGTGCCACATCCAGAGCGGGGGCAGATGAAGAGGGTGAGCAGGAACAGCTGGAACTGCCGAGCTGTGTCAACACTTGACTGTTTCACAGATTGACTAGTTGAAGTGTCACCTGAAACCAATTACAGCCCCAGCCCCCCACAGACCCAGTTCATAACATTGATTAATCCACATTGAGAAAACATCCCCAAGCAAAACTAGAACAGCTGTCCAATCAGAATTTGACTTTTTCTTTTAAAAGGTTTTTTAAAAAGAGTCTTGAGCCAGTATCAAAAGGAAGGAACAAAAAGTTGTTGAGAAAAAGGAAAGTCACCCACAGCCACTGCTGCCGGCTTATTTTCTATTCCACTGACTGAAATGAAGCCAAGTCACCAATTCTCATCAGTCTAATGCCAGGATGCTGTGAAACTGAGTCCAGAGATGGAGGAAGGTGCAATGGGCACTGTCAACTAAGAGGATGTGACCACAATTTCCTTGTTATGGGAAAGGCACAGTAGCCATGGAGGGGAGCTTGCCAGACTTTCTCAGCAACTGCTGTGACCCTACAGTGCCCTGTATTTGGTTACCTCGTTCAACCCACATTTTACCAGCTTCCTTGCAATAATATCATGGGGGACTTCGCCAAAAGCCTTACTGGAATCCCTACACACTATGTCCACAGCATCCCCCTGATCCACCAAGCTTTTTACTCCATCAAAAAAGAAATGAGGTTCGTCTGGCATGACTTATTTTTGAGAAACCCATCCTGGGTCTTAGTAATCACAGCGTTCTTTTCTAAACGCTCACAGGGCGACTGTTGAATTACCTGTTCTAGGACCTTTCCTGATATCAATGTCAAGCAGGTCAGTAGTTACCTGGATCTTTCCCCCCTTTTTGAAGATGGGGACAACACTTGCCCACTTCCAGTCTGCAGAGACCTTACCTGCTTTCCAAGAATTCTCAAAGATCATAGACAAAGACCTCTTTTCCTATCTTGGGCCACAGCTCCCTCCTGGACAGTTGGTCAGGCATCCTCTGTGAGCCTTCCCTACATTGGTGAGCAGGCGCAAACATTGGTCTTTCAGACTTCAGTGGAGCCCTGTGCGAGACCAAAATTTGGCAGCCCCTGCCTCTCACCTTCCATTCTGCTAAATTCACTGTGTCATAGTTGTAACACCCTGTGGTGCCCCCCAGGCTTGGCGCCCAGTGTGGCACTGCCCTAAATCCTCCTCTGCTTCCAGCCACAAGCTTACCTGGCAGTGAATAGCTACAAGCAGCCACTTTTTATTTTCATAAATTTCCCCAGTGCAACATTGCTTTTTGGGGGGGCCCATTGGGGGCTGCCATTTTAATGCCCTCAATGCCACCAGGTGGCGCTACATCAGAGACACTGTGATATATTTAAAATGGCCTGCACTGATGCTTGCCCTGGGGCAGAGTAGGAGAATGAAGTGACCTCTCCCATATTGGGGCATATTCTGGGAAATGAACATACAATGAGAGCGGCCAGCAGACATAACTCCAAATATATGGGGCTGGTTCTAGCTAAACCAGCACCTTGGATGAAATCCAAAAGGGATGGAAATAAATGCCCAGGTAAATTTATACGGTCAGCCATGATCATGATCATTTCCAGCAAACATTTCCAGAGAAATGACTAGAATGGAAGCAAGGATCTTATAATGAGGAAGAAAGAGAGAGCTGGATATCAGCACGGAGGGCCTGAGATCAATAAAATCAAGGAGCTGAGCAGGGCAAGAGGTCTCCTCCTGCTCACGAAATATCTTCTGTTCTATAAATACTCCCTCTTTGACTGTGTCCTTCCTATTCAGCTCCCTAAATCCTAATTGCTAAGGGCGAGCTGCAGGATTTTCTGTACAGCTAAAACGACTTGTTAAAAAGTTCATTTGCAAAAGTATGTCATAATAGCCAATTAATAACCAATGACTTCTCCGTGGTTAAAAAAAAAGTGTCTCTGTTGTATTCTGCCGTTCATTTTAGTAATAATCCAGAGGCAAGAAACAAATTCTTGGGACACTTCAGGCCAGCAGAGTATATCATCTCAAGGGTGAAAGAGTGCCATTTAATGAATCAACATCAGAGGTTGCCATGGCAATGATAAATGTATATTCTCCCATGCTACTGGAATTTCACCCAGCCAGCCCTGGACATGTTGAGGTGAGGGCTTGTTTTCTATCCGGGAGACGGGGGGGGGGGAGCAACGGGCGGCCCATTGGCCAAACTAGATCCCTAAAGCTATTTTATCACCACCATCATCTATTTTCTCCTCACCAGCCTTCTTCCAAGCAGCTTAGAAACAGCGGTGGTCCTTCCACCAGCTTTGTCTAGTTTGCCAGCTGTGCCCGATCCTGGACAGGGATAGCCTGATCAGTTGGTAACCTCAAGGCTGGACTCAAGGCTCACCTGCACTATTCATTTAAAACAGCATTATACTTTTTAAAAAGTCAGGAATCCTGGGAACTGTAGTTTGTTAAGTACCCCGAGAGTAGTTAGCAGACCCTTCTTCCCCTCACAGAGGTATAGTTCTGGGAAGAGAGACTGACTGTTATACTATTCCAGGAAATGAATCTGACACAGGATGAGGTGACTTACCATGTTCCTATCAGGGAAAGGCTGTAGCTCAGTGAAAGAGCATCTGCTTGGCATGTAGAAGGTTCCTGGTTCAACCCCTGACATCTCCAGGCAGGGAGAGATCTATTGCATGTAACCCCAGAGAGCCACTGCTAGTCATTGTGGACCAGGGGCACCATTGGGGGTCAGGGGGGGCTGAGGGGGCCCCAAATTTTCAAAGTGGGGGCCGGATTCAAAGTGTGGCATCCAGATGGGTAGTTGCTGCTGCTGCTGCAAGGCCCGCCAGACTACTGGCGCAAGGACGGCCAAGCCACCACTGGCACTGCAAAGATTGCCAGGCTGCTGGCAGGCCTGCTAGGACACCAGTGGCAACGCAGAAGTGCAGCTGCAAAGGCTCTGTTGTGATGTAAGGCTGCTTCCTTTGTTCCTTCTTATTTGTTCCTGGCATATAAGGTTGGGTTGCAGAGGTTGCCAGTCCATAGTTTTGGATGGTAGGTAGTTATAAAACTGTACCAGGTATAGCTTGGCAAAAGCACAGTTGTAGTGTCATTTGAATGATTCCCTTGGATCCTGCTGTGTGGCCCAAAATAGTCACTTGCCAGCTGAACACCACAAGTCTGCACTCCAGATGGAAATAAAAATTCTTAATAGGTTTAGGGCAAACTTCCAGCTTGCCAACACAGGGAGGTTGAAAGACTGTTGCTGAAAATGACAGTCTAGCTCTAGGGCTGGCTGTGCAATTAAATGCCTGTACTGGGTGTGTGTGTGTGTAGTAAAGCACTATACACTCAGAAGTGCTACATAACCACAGTGGCGTAGCTAGCTGCTTGGGCACCCGGGGCGAGCTGTCCATGGGGCGGGGTGAGCCAGGGCAGGGTGCTCTGTGCAGAACCTTCAAGGAATCCGCCTGCCACCTCCACTTCAGCTGTTTTGGCAGCATGGAGCCTGCAGGCGCCTGAGCCACCGCATCACTCCCAGGAGAGACAAATGGCTCAGGCGCACGGCAGGCCCCATGAGAAGTGCCACGCCCCATGGTGTGGTGCCCAGTGTGCCCTTCCAGCCCCCCAGCTACGCCTCTGCATAACCATTAGGAATGCCTCTGAAATTCTGCATTTCTTCCCAGGTCCTGCCGATTCCCCCGCCCGCTCAGGCTGCTGATTTATTACTAGGCCACATTCAGGGAGTTACTATTGCATATAAAAGTCCTCAGCAGCTTGCTATCATTTTACTGGAAGTATCACCTAACCCAACACATGTGCCCTCAACCACTTACATCTGCAGAATGGGCACGTTTCCAAGGGCCACGTAATGTTTGTTCTGCATTTGCAAGGGATCAATCCTTTAGTGTGGCAAGACCTACACTTTGGTACTCCCTGTCCATGGATCTTAGGCACACACCTTCACGGTACATGTTTTGGTGCCTGCTAAAAATGTTTTTGTTCCAGCAAGCCAGCATGTAATTTAGAATGTACTTTTGACATGCAGTTGTAGTAAGTATAAGCATTTTTAAATTGCTGATTTGATTTCATTTATTATGTAACTTGTTTTTAATGTTTGTTTTTCTAATTGCTATTTTTAATGAATATTTTAGACTCATCCATATTAAACCATGGAGGTATTTTGCTCCAGTAAGCGGCATATACAAAATAAATTTGCATGTTACAAATAGGTCTCACTTCCTGTAAAGGCCTGAGTGGTGAAACAAAGCAATCTCTTTGGGCAGCCAGAAGCCCTCCAACAGGTTCTGTCTCAAAGTCCCATCAGCCCCAGGCACAATGGTCAATTGTCAGGGATGATGGGAGCTGGAGTGTAGCAATATCTGGTGAGCACCAGGTTACCCTCTCTTGCACAAAAGATTCTCCCTTGTTCCATTTTTCATTTCTGAAAGCGGTTGGTGTACATGAGAGATGTGGCCTTCTCAGGGGGCCCTCACTGTTGTGGAAATCTCTGCGACATTCATTTATCCCCTTCTGGCTTTCAATAACCACTTAGCTCATCATCCCTTATCTTATCTATCTTATCACCTTGTCTTGTCTTATCTTTTAAATTTGTATACCGACCTTCATCCAAAGATCACAGGGTGGTTCACATTTTTAGCTCTTGCCTTCCCTTAAGTTCCCCTTGTGTGTCTACTTGTCTGCATCCTCGCCGTGTTTTCCTGCTCTCCCGTATGTTCTGCTGTGGCTTTTATTTTGCTGTCCTATGTCATTTTGTGAGGGCCTGAAAAGCAATGAATAATAAATGGAAGGAAGGAATGGAGAGATGGTAAGATGCAAACAAATGGGAGGAACAGAAGGCTGTGGCTAGACATTCATGCTCCAATCCTGGACTCAGCATTAATAAAGGCTCCTAGTTGAGCCAGAATTCAGGAGAAGGGTGAGAGGTGCAGACAGAGACAGTGTTTGAGAGGAAGAGTAAAGGAATGGAACCAGGAAATGTCTTCATCCCTAATAGTTGTCCATTTCACATGTTGGCACCTGTGATCTGAGAGATCCCATTCCTGCATCCCCTGGGATCCTGGAAGCAAGACACTTGGAAGCTGAAGAAGTATTGAGCTTGCCTTTTTTCTCTTCCCAATGAAGCCTTCAATTCCTCACTCCTACCAAACAGTTTCTGGCTAGACAGCTGCTGCCTCCATCCTCCCTCGAGTCTATTCCCCCCCCTCCGCAAGTGACCCCCTGCGTTGGAACTCTGCAGACCTTGCTGATCTCTCTCTCTCTCTCCCTCCTGACTTAGAGCCAAGGAAAGAAGCATATACAGCCATCCCCACCAAACACACGTGCTACTTCTCTGCTATGGAACACAGAGAATAATCTACCATTTGACTCTGCGTAATAAGAAAATATGGTCCCTTGTCACATGGTCTGGCCTCATCCAGGAACAGAACACTAGTGTGGCCAAGTGGTTAGTGTTAGGGTAGGACCTGGGAGATGAGGGTTCAACTCATCCACAAAGCTCATCCACAAACGGTCACCTAGGGACCCTCTCACCCTAGCTTACCTCTCAAAGTTGTTGTGAGGAGCTCCTTAGAAAAAAGGTAGAATATCAATGTAATAAAGAATGAAAATAAACCAGCTGGAGCCTACACTGCCAGGAACAAGACTCAGGAATCTGTTTGATTCACTTTTAAGAACAGACCTGATTCAATGTTCCTAAGCTTTTTTCTTTTTTTAAAGGGTAAGTCACCAGTTTATCCTAACTGTAGCAACTCAGAAATAAATCCTATTGAATTCAGTATGGCTAACTTCCAGGTAAATGGGGTTAGGGTTGCAACTTTAGCAAGGGAGCAAAAGCTGGATTGCAGCAATGAACATCCTCCCAACTTTCCAAGCACTGTCATGTGCCAACAGACTTACAGAGAAGGAGAACATGTTGGATGATGGGTGAGCAAATACCTACTGACCACCCCACACCCCCACACCAAGAAGCTTTGAGGGTGAAGACACTTGAAGAAGACGAAGGTGAGTGGGACATTGGGCTGCAGCCACCAGGCGCGAGTTGGGTGGGCAGGTGGGCAGGAAATGGGAAACAGATCAAACTCACCGGCTCTCACTGTCCCACATCATCCAATAGTCCACAAAGGATGGAGACACACACACACACACACACACACACACACACGTACTCGACCATTATTGCTCAAGAGGAGCTTTGTTCTGATCCATGGCTGCATCTGTGACTTTAAAACACAAGGTTTCACCCAAATAATCCTGGGAACTATGGTTCTCCCGAGCTGTGATTCCAGCATGCTTAACAAACCACAGTTCCCAGGATTATTTGGGGGAAGCCGTGTGATGTACATGTGCTTTAAATCTAGATGGCTCAGTCAGTAGAGCATGAGACTCTTAATCCTTAGTCGTTAGTTTGAGCCCCATATTGGGCAAAATATTCCTGCGTTCCGGCGGATTGGACTAGATGACCCTTGAAGTCCCTTCCAACTATACAACTCTATGATTCCGTGAAATGTATGCAGCCTTAAAAAAGAGAGTCCAATCCTGCCATCCAGTCATGTTGAAGGGTGTGTGTTCATGAGCAATCCAGGAACAAAACAGCATTTTCTGACGGCCTTACAAGGCTAATCAGAAAAGAAAATCTTAGCAGCAGCCAGACTGGTGCATCTCACAGGGGGCTGGGGGGGGGGGGAGAATGACAATGACCATGAAGACGAAGGGGAAATCATGCAATGTTCTACCTCCAAATGAACTTAATCCACCTTTAGTTCACCTGTCAATTATGGGAAGGGCTTCCAGGCATATTTCGGGATTTTGAGCTAGTGCATTCCAAGCCCTGGTCAGAAGACCTAGGAAGGTTTCTGCTTTTCTTGTTCCTCAGACAGAAAAACTAGGGCTCCTGCTGAACATTTGGAAGCCCTGCAGCTCTCGGTGGCCCATGGCTAATGACTCCGACACTACACACACTACAGATTCAAACTTCCCTCCACCCCAAAGGGCTTTCCTGGGATAGGGATGGGCCCCCGCCCTGGCACTGTACACTTGGAAGGCAAAGGGGCTTTCAGTCGCCACTCACACACCCGAAGCCATCATCTCCACAATCTTTAGGACTTCAAAAAGGCAATGGGTGCCATCAGTTTCTGCCCCAAAGCAGCAGCAGGGAGAGCAGAGATCAGAAAAGAAAGGATTAATTAATAACCAAAGGAGCCGGCTGGAAACGTTCAGACCCCGCACAGAATCAGTTTCTTCCAGATTGCCTGGCAAAATCTGTGCTACATCCTCCCCTTGCCTTGCCTTTCATCTCCGCAAACTGTCAGCACTGTTGTACCAACAACATACTGTTACGGTGGCACACAGTGAATAGCTCTTGGATACCAAACAAGACGCATTAAGTGAGCCTTGCCAATTATCTCCAGCATGTTTTGCTCACAAGCTGACTTATTTCCTTCAATCTGCATTGTTGAAATGTCTACACACTTCTTAAAAATAATAAGCGCCACTTTAGAGGCAATTGTTCTTTTAATTGCAAACAGGGGATTGTAAATCTTTTTCTTCCTCCAACGAAGCAATTGTGTTGCTCCGTGCAACAGCTTTGAGTGCTACTGTGCTGCTTTTTTGCTCTTTCTCTTCCCCCCTCCTCCTCCCCTAATTCCCTCACA